TTCCCTTCTGGCCACATCCCCTCCAGCATCTGTTGTTATTAGAATTCTTGATTATAGCCATTCTAACTGGGGTGAGGTGGTATCTCAATGTTGTTTTGATTTGCATTTCTTTTATGGCTAGAAAGGTTGAGCATTCCTTCATGTTTCTATTGGCCTAGATGGACAAATTTATGGTTACAGATTACAAAACAGATTTCACTTCTGACACATTTGCAATCTCAGAAAGTTTCCAAAACTATCTCTAGTTCAGTTATTTATAGAGACTCACAGAATTCATTTAAAACTGTTATGATTATAGTATCTTACAGGGAAAGGATACTGAATAAATTTAGACCAAACAAACAAAAAAAACTAAAAAACAAAACACACCCAAGACTATGAGGAGTCTGTGAAGTTTCCAAATGTGAATGGCACATTGTCCTCCCCTAGAGTCAGGATATAGTAGCCCCTGGCATGAAGACATAGCAATATGCTCAGAGGGATACTGTCAACCACTGAAGCTCACTCAGGCATTTCTGTGCAGAGTTTTGATTGAGACTTCATTATACTTATTTGATTGCCCACATGGTTCAATCAAGTCTCTAGGTAGAATGATGCCACATAACCAAAAGCCTTCACTGCAGGTTATACTCTTGGTTTTTATGGCATGACCACCCCCTAGCCTCTGATCTGATATTTCCAATAACAACACTCCTATCAGGTATGATGGAGATGATCTTCCAAAATCCAGAAAGAGTAAAAGACAGACCTCTTTTGGGGCAGAGTCAAATTCTGTACTGGAACTTTTCTCTTTTATTTTCAGTTATTCTTTGTTATTGTTAACTTTCTCCCCCGTCATTCTATAGGACTCTTTTTCTCTGACCTTTATTTCTTTTTTATTGTGAAAATACTGTACAGAGGGGTTACAGTTACATGAGTAAGGCAATGAGTACATTTCTTATCTAGCATTGTTACTGCCTCCTTTGTTTTTCCCCTCCCCTCCCCACCTTTATTTTTCTTTTATTATAATTCTCTCTCACTCATCTTAATTTTGTAGGCTATACATTGGGTTCTTGTCTGCATTCTTCCATTCTTCTTCTCTTTGTCTAACTTTTTCTTCTTGAGGAAATCAGACCCAGAGAGACAAATAATGCTACTGCTCATCTTTCTACACGATGCCTCATCTTGCCTCCCAGGATTCAATTGTACATGCTAGATAATCAAGTTTGAGTTCAATTTGATCCTTCTGAAATAAGAAGAATGATGAATCATTCCACATCATATCCTTTCTCATATCAGAGTACTGTGAGGGTATGTCATTCTGAGTACAGAGTTCAAACTCATTGTTCTGTCCTTTACCTACAATGTTTTTTTTCTTTGTATAGACAAGTGAACAAAAGCACAGGGTATTTAATTATTGCTGGCACTGTGGCATGGGTAGGGTTCTGAATCTGTTCCCATTTCGTGCCCTTAGGTAAGTTATATCATTCATGTTCATATTCACATAATATTTCATATTCACATAATATTTCATATTCAATTTCATATAAAGTGCACATAGTACTACCCAGCCATCGCATCTCTAATTTTAGTAGAAATAAAGCCTGGAGGGCTGTGATTTGAGATTGGTCCAGGCCCAAACAAACCATATCTCAAACCGCATCTCAACAAATAAGCCAAGCATGGTGGCATGTAACTGTGATCCTATCTACACAAAGGGTTTTAAGTAGAAAATCAGTTTGAGGTTGGCTCTAAGAAAAATTGTGAGCCACTCCCTGAAAAATAATTTAGAGCATAAAAATAGTTGAGGTAGGTTTCCTAACTCACAAACCAATGTCTTCCCATTTATTTCTCCACATAGCTCTCCCTAGACCGTTAATACATGCCATTTTGTTCCGTTTTTTTTTGTGTGTCTCTAGAATTTCTTGCTTGATACTTGAGTTAAACTGTTTAAAAATTATCTTTAAGTAGTTGTATAAAGGAGATGCCATTTAACGAAGCAGTTTATGAATACAATATATCTTGATCAATGTTACCCCTTTCAACATGGTAACATCGCCCCCCCTCAGCTTTTTCCCCACTCCTCTTAATTTTGTAGGATATACATTAGATTCTTGTCTGAATTTTCCCCTTCCAGTATTCTAGGTCTTAATTTCTGCAAATCCAAACTCCAATCCTAAGCACACACCGCAAAGGCTTACCAAGATTTCTTCCTTTGACATACAACAATGGAGAATCCAGTTTTAAAACATTGTACATAAATGGTTCCAAAGGAGCATCAGTGTGCCTCAAGAGATGTCCATAAAGTGTGCGTGTGCAGAGGAGAGCGTGCTTAGTAGTAAATTCTCCAGGGGCCAGAGGTCTTTTATTAAAGTGAAGAGAAATTCATCTTTGTCATTGCATCAGCTGAAGAGAAACTCTAGGGAAATCTCCATGAACACTCTGCGCCTGACCCACCTGGTCAATGAGGAGGTCTTATTTCACATCATACTTACGACAAGTGCCATTTTATCTTCTGCTTTCTTTTTCCCCTTCCTCGGTGGCACTAGGATTTGAACTCAGGGCCTCACTCTTGCTAGGCAGGTACTCCACTGCTATAATTATGACCTCAGCTCTTTTTTGCTTTAGTAAGAATTCATTGTACATTTTGGATACTAGATTTCTATGAGGCATATAGTTTTTTAGCAATTTATCCTATCCAGTGAGCTGTATTTCCAGTCCCTTGAGATTATTATTTAATTTACAGATGTTTTTGATCCTGATGAAATTTAACTTATTTATTCATTTAAATGCTTCTTGTTTTTGTTGTCCTATATTAGAAACCAAATCTGAGGTCATGATCATGAATATTTACAGTTATGGTTTACTCTAAGAGTTTTGCTGGCTTTATGTCCTTGGTTCAGTTTAATTTGGTTTTCATATAGAGTAGGAGCTAAGGACCCATTTCACTCTCTCATGTGTACACATTTCTTGAAGACGTTATTCTTTTCTCCATTGACTGACCATGGCATGACTGTCAGAAATCAATTTACGATAAACAGGTAGGCTTCTCAATGATTAATTCTTTTCCATTTATTTGCATTTATGTTCTTATACCAGCATCATGCTCCCTGGGT